GCGACTCTTTAAAACAAGCCATTGTAAATAAACAAGCCTGCGCTGTAGCAGCAACTGTGACATTAACAATCCAGCAGTTGGCGTTTCATGTGCTTACGTATTCTACTTTTCTAGTAAACATTGTCTCTGACGATATTAAAACGCGGTTGTCGAAGGATATTTTTGTATAAATTCATTTTATATACATTTCTTGAAAATTTTCGGTCAGTTATTTTAGATAATTTTTAAACTTTGATTTTGAGTGTCACTTGAATTTTTCTTTTTTTCTGTAACACAGATACTTAAAGTTTAAATGGTTATACATATTTTCAAATGCAAAAAATGATTTTGTCGATTATTTAATTCTAATTCTTCATTACTTTTTTAAACTGTCTTTTATGTATCTTAATTATCCTGTTCTATATAAACGATCTGCTAATTAGTATTCCTACTAGTATTTAATTTTCTAATTAATATTCAATTCTTCGATGTGTTAGCATCGTGTGAAAATTACAAATGAGTTCCTGAGTATCTCTACCCTATTTTTAACGTATGACACATGATACTAATGCATTTCATAAATAATATACTATCGATATCGATAAGTTAATTTAGAATTTATACAATTTTTGGATAATTCTAAACTTTTAAATATTATAACTAAAATATTGTTAATGAACTATGAAGTTATTTAAATAAAACTTGTCTTATAGAATACGTAGTTCATATTTAATGATTATTCATGTATATAATTGGGAGTAAAAGGGACAACAGTTCTTTATGCAAATGAAAGTTTACCTGTATAAATTAATTTACGAATATAAAAAAACTAGTAATTTAAGATCGATTTCAGATAAGAAGTTATCTGGTAAGAATTAAGTTATTTGTTTATGGAAAAAATAAAGCATGCATTTAGTTATAAAATATTAAGATTTGTATTATGCCTTACTCGGTTTCGGTTATTACAAATATATGAAATTTATTTTCTACAATATTCAATAGTTTATTTTTAGATGAAAAA